GAAAATGTTTTGAGAATGATGTACAAATGCGCTTTACACAATTGATGTGTGTATGGATTGCGATAACAGTTGTATGAGCCCCTAATAAAATATTTTTAAAAAGATAATCATGAACCACAATAAAGATCGCCTATACAAAAAATGCAACAAAAAAACCTTCAGCTTTGGCAAAAAAAATTGGATGAAAATAAAATTTACATATTGAAAAAAAAAAAAAAAAGGCAATGCTATGTGATCTGCCCAGGCCAATGACAATTCCTTCACCCAGCTTGTCAGGGGCAGAGGTGGTATTGGAATTGGTGTCCAGCCTGTCTGGCAGCAGAGACATTGGTAAGATTTCTGGTCAGTGAGTGTATTTACTCTGTATCACTCTGTTTTCCCAGGCTAGGACCGCTCTCCCTTTCCCCACCCCAACAAGCCTCCGGGGAGTTAGCGCTGTCCCCTCTCAGCACCTATCCACGTGTTCTCTCACCTTCAGGATCGCGGAGGGACAGGAAGGGACGGCTGGATAGTGGACTACTACCACATCTTTGGGCCAGGACAGAGATACCTCAACCGGAGAAACTGGGCAGGGGCAGGCAAGTGACCCCTCGCTTCCCAGCCTCACGCGGTGCTACATGTGACAAGCTGCATGGGCTCGGTGGCTCACAGAGCAGCCCACTTAGGGCCTTGCGCCCCCAGTGCCCCTCCTCCTCTATGAGTGCCCGGTGCCACAGAGTTCTCTCCCATCCAGCGACTGGGCACCCACTCTGTCTGGCGCTTTTCACCCTCACATCTCCCCCGGGACAGCGTGGAGAAACTGAAGTTTGGGGAGTTAAGGTGATTTACTAAGAAGGCTAAGCTGGGATTCCAAATCTGATTTCTAGCACCCGGGCCCCATCCCATTCATTGCTCCAGGAGCAAGCTGGGTTTAGCTCACTTTCCAGACCCGAGTTAGCCGCAGGAGAAAGGGAGAGTTGAGAGGTATTCTTCCAATAGGGTGAGCGCTCATTCCACCCTGCCGCCACCACCCTGCTGCCACAAAGCTAGTCACACGCTCCTTTGCACCATTTGGCTAAGCCAATCTTGTCTGTTTTGTCCAGATGGGTCAGAGGCAAGGGTGAGGTTTTCTCAGTTCTCCAGGGAACAAGACAAGCCCAGAACTTCCCGGCCCGCTGTGCCCCAGCACATACCAGTCTCTTTCCTATTGCAAAAGAACATTCTTGGTAGTAGCTTTGGTTTCTAGGAAGCCTTCTGTCTCCTGGACCTCACCAGCCTTTAAGGCAGCGGTTCTCAACCTGTGGGTCATGACCCCTTGGGAGGCTGTCGAACGACCCTTTCACAGGAGGCCCAATTCCTAACAGTAACAAAATGATGATGAAGTAGCAATTAAGATAATGTGATGGTTGGGGGTCACCACCCCATGAGGAGCTGTATGAAAGGGTCGTGGCATGAGGAAGGTTGAGAACCACACAAGGGGCTCAGGACACTTGAGGACGAAGGGGTTTAGCTGTTGGCACAGGAACCAAAGTGGGTTTGTACCAGCGTCCTGTAGCGGCCCTTTGTCAGACAAGCAGGGCCGGAGGGCGGGCTCAGGTCTCTGTCTGCTCGCCAGGGCATTCCTTCCAGCAGGTGACGGGCCACGACTTCTACAACACGGAGCAGAAACCCATGAAGGGGTTCAATGGTCCCTTTGGCTACCGCCGGAATACTCCAGCCTTCCGCCAGCACACGTCTGTCTTTGGAGAGGTGACTCGGTTCCCTCTCTTCTAAAAACGTGTCTTTTCTTCTCAGCCCTCAATGTGAATATGTGTTTACATGAAATCCCGATGTTACTTTATATATTAAAAAAAAAAATCTGACTGTCCCTTCAGGGTGCCGTTTTTTTTCTCCAGAGGGGGAGGTGGGAGGCTAAGCTCCTTGAGGGGAAGGGGACAGGGCTGCGTCGGCCTGCATCCGACACCACTTACCTGGGTTGAAGGAGAGCCCTCCTTCTCCCCTACTCTCGGATATGAAACAATGGTAGTTACTTCACCCTCAGCCACCCCTTCCCAGCACTCGGCAGAGCAACCAGATCAGAAGCTAGCCATCATTTCCATCAGGAACAGAGCACGCAGTGCAACCAACTGCAGGCCTTCGCCATAGCTGTCCTGAGGAGGGTTTCCTGGTTTTCCGGAGAAGATCATCCCATCCAAACCAACAGACCTCTTTTCCTTTCCACCCTACTACGTTCATCAGAAGGCAAGGGGTGAACATCTGAAGGTGTTTTCTGGTCCAAGGGTTCTGAGCCAGTAATCCCTTGCTAGTGCAAAGCTGGACCGTGGAATGGAATCTCTCTGCTCTGGTAGTTTCCCCACCAGCTAGTTTCCAGGCTGTCATTCTCCACGATGTCCCTTTGCAATTGCCCCCACCCAGTTTATTGGTGGCCAGGAAAAGCCAAAGCATGGATGGATATAAAAGAAGGTGGGGCTTTAGAACATCAACTCTCCAGAGTTCTAGTGTGGGTGGAACCTGATTGTATTGAGTCACCATAAGTGGACAAGGAAGAGATCTCTGCCAGGGCCTGGGGGTATAGCTCAGGGGTAGAGCATTTGACTGCAGATCAAGAGGTCCCTGGTTCAAATCCGGGTGCCCCCTTCCCAATTCCTTTTCCCTCCTTTAATTAAGACAAATCCCCTCAGAATATTCTAGATTTAAGATTAGATTTAGGGGCTGTGTAGATAATCTGTCCTTCTGTTGTATGTAGGTAAAATTAAGGATGTTCATTCAATATTCTTAAGAATGATCAGTATATGTGAGAATTTAGGAGGTACAAGACTACATTGAAACAAAAGATAAAAGAGCATCCCTGTCCTCAGGGTGTTTACAGTCTAGTGGGAGTTGACATATGTTTATTTGGTTGTAGGCAATATTCAGAGGAAACGCATTTGTTTATAGCTCAAGAAATGTCTTTTACAATTACATACCCATACTCTAGGTACAATTCAAAGCAGACCTTACTCACTGCCGTTGAGTTGATGCTGATTTACAGTGACCCTATAGAACAGGGTAGAATTGTCCCTGGAGAGAGTGGAAGAAAACATGGAACGTAATTCAAAATCATCAAAGAGACCAGGCTTCCTGGTTGCCCAGAAGCGGATGGAACACCCAAGACCATGGCCCTACGCTTCATGTCTAGAGCTGAATTTACTGCTGAGTTTGAATAGCCAAGCATTTAAGATCAAAAGGGCAACTAGTATTTATCCAAGGACAATATTCAGAGGGTTAGGAAAGAAGGCAGAGGGAACTGAGAACACAGGAAGTGGGAGGAGGGATGGTATTGAGGAGACTGCACTGGATGAGTTGTATCAGAATGCGTGTGAGTTGCTGAACGCAAAAGTATGATCTTTATCTTTCACCTAATTCACAATAAAGGTGTTTTTTTTAAAAAGACCTTCAGGGGATTCTATGATCGGTAGCCCCTATTCTAAGTTCACACTTTGAGAAACTAGAACCCAAAAGCCATCGAGTCAATGCCTACTCCAGGTGACCTTATAGAACAGAGTAGAACAGCTCCTGTGGCTGTCTGAGACTGCACCTCTTTATGGGAGTAGAAAGCACCATTTTTCTACCTCGGGGTGGTTGGTAGTTTCAAACTGCTGACTTTGCCGTTAGTAGCCCAACATGTATCTGCTAACCCACCAGGGTTCCCACTTTGAGAAACACTGGTGATAAAATACATCAATTCATGTTGTTCCAGTGGCTCTATGGTTTTAGTTTTCTCTGCTAGAAAGAAGAAGGAGAAGGAGAAGAAGCAGAAGGAGAAAAGAAGAAGAAGAAGAAGAAGAAGAAGAAGAAGAAGAAGAAGAAGAAGAAGAAGAAGAAGAAGAAGAAGAAGAAGAAGTAGTAGTTCTGGTGGCTAAACAGGTACGAGCTCAATTGTTTGATTAAAAGTTTGGCCATTCCGACCCACTCAGGGCTCTGTAGGAGAAAGAACTAGTGACCTGCTCCAAGCCCTGAGCCCTAGGGGGCTGGTTCCAGGCTCTCGTGTGGAGTCTCCATGAGCACACACGAATTCCAAGACTCCTAACAACACAAACTGTGAAGAAACAGCTCTCTGTTGTCTTCAGATGTTTTCCACGACAAAACCACGGCACCACTGCTTTGGAGCCATCGCTTCCTCCTCCTCTGGTGTTAATCAGTATGGAAACCTGGAGGAGAAGTTGCTATGGGTATTGATGACATTGTAGATAGCATCGTTACAATTTATGGACACTATCAGTCAGCCACTATATGCTAAGCTTTACAAACGTTAGTCAATCTAATTCCCTTAACAATCCTGCACAGAAAGTATTATGCTTATAATACAGATGAGAAAAAGTCCGCAGAGAGGTTGTATCACCTTACACATGATAGAATTAGGACTCAAACTGAAACCAAAGCTATTGTCTTTTCATGTACACAGCCTTCTTTTCTTGTGTCATTAATAATACTATAGTAATGATTAGTACTATTTCTAGGAGGTCATGCCCCAAGGAAACATACTGGTCAACTTTTGACTCCAGGATGAGGGTCTGTCTTTAAAGATGCACGCATGCATCCACCATCTGTTTAACAATACTTTAGTGAACTACTATGTGCCAGAAACTATCCCAGGTGTAAGGGACCCGAAGGTTTCTATCATTACAGAAAACACAGGTATACAAATAAATGAACAGGCCTGAAGTGTGAACATATGTAAGATAGAACTCAAGCGACAGGCTGAAGAACAAAAGCATTCCCTGAGAAGAGTCCAGGAAAGTCAAAAGGAACATCTGGAGAGTGGTAGGAAGCAGCCAAGGGCAAAGTGTTTCAATCACTTTGGGAGTGGTCAGTAGTATCAAAGGCTAAGGGATGTCAAGGTGATGAAATATGAGGGTAAATAAAAGATGATTGTTGCAAAATCATAGACACCTTTATTAAATAAAAATATCCGTATGTGAAGCTATAGGTCCCCAACATATCCTTCATCTAGGTCTCTATAATTTAAAAGAATCATTTTACTGGGGGCTCGTACAACTCAATCACAAGTCATCCATCCATCCTTCGATGCTTCCTTTGCTCTGTCAGTCTCCCAGTGGTGGTGTAGTGGGGTAGAGGTTCAGCAGCTAAGTGCAGCAATGGTTGTTCAAACGCACTGTCATTCCCTGTGGGAAAGACGAGGGTTTCTGCTTCCGAAGCCCGAGGGCAGTTCTATCCTGCGCTATAGAGTTGCTCCCGGGCTGTAGAGAGGCCAGGGGTTGGAACCGACCTGATGGCATCAAGGGTTTATTCACCCCTGGTAATCCTTCTCTGAAGAATTGTGTGCTCTTTGTGCTGTTAGGTGCTATCAAGTTGGCACAACAGAATGAAACAGTGCCCAGTTTGGGCATCCTTCAGGGACTCAAATTGTGTTCCTTTAAACAGTTCGAGTTTGGGGAAGTCCGAAGAGGCAAGATCTGGGCTGTAGGGTGGATAGGGCAGGACAGACCGTCTGAACCTGGAAGAACGGGAAGTTGCATTGTTTTGTTTGTTCATTTTCATCAACATTTTAATTTATTTTCTTTTTTTAAAACTTAATTTTTAATAGTTTTTTTAGTTGCATTGTTATGATGGAAATTCCTTAGTGCAATTTTTTCCTGGCTTTTCACTACTGCAGTTTTTCAATTTTTTAAAAACAACTTCATAATAAGTCTCAATGATTGTGTCTTTTGGGGGTGGGAGAATCAATATTACTATTTTGGAATTACAACAACAACAACATTCACTGTAACCATCTGAAAAGGAGCCCTGGTGACATAGTGGGTTGAGTCTTGCGCTACATGCTGCCTAAAAGGTAAAGTTCCTGAAGTTCACCAGCTGCTCTCACAGGGACAAAGATGAGGGACTTCCCTTAAAGGTTTCCCGTCTCAGAAACTTTGGGGAGTAGTTCTGCCTTATAAGGTCTCTATGAGTCTATTTGACTATGAATCAGAATCAACTCCCACACGGTATATTTGTTTTGTTGTTTTTTTATAACCTTCTGAACTCTTTGATTTCAATTTAACTGGACAAGTGGATCCCCTTCAGAGCCATAATTTTTTTTTTCAGAGCCATATTTTGACTGGAGGTCTTTGTTTTTTTTTAGACACCCTAGTGAGTCTAATTACATTAATTTCTTTTTTTATTTCATTAAAACATCATTTTATTAGAGGCTCATACAACTCTTATCACAAGCCATCCATACATCAATTATGTAAAGCACATTTGTATATTTGTTGCCCTCATCATTTTCAAAACATTTGCTCTCCACTTAAGCCCTCGGCATCAGCTCATTTTTTCCCCCTCTCTCCCTGCTCCCCCCTCCCTCATGAACCCTTGATCATTTATAAATTATTGTTTTGTCATATCTTACACTATCCGATGTCTCCCTTCACCCACTTTTCCGTTGTCCGTCCCACAGGGAGGAGGTTATATGTAGATACTTGTAATCGGTTCCCCCTTTCCACCCCACCCTTCATTAATTTATAATTACTGAGAAAATTTGTCTACTATTCATTGAGCACAGAAGAATATTCAAATGTTTTGTTTGGAATTAACTCATGCATATACAATTGGAACTCTAGAAGCAATATTTTTAATGACTTTTTAAAAAACAGTTTTATTGGCACTTAATCCACATATCACACAATTCAGTATTTCAATCATATCAAGAAAAGTTGTACAATCACCACCATATTTTTAAAAATTTATTTCAGAATATTCCCCCATCCCGCCATGGTTAAATCGCTTTTAAATGAGTTGTGTAATCACCATTAGTTCTAATAGCTCTCACATAAGCAACAGTAGTTCTTATCTCTATGCATCTACTCATTCTGTACTTTACATACTGGAAAACCCAACAGAAACAGTTAAAAAGCAGAGACAAAATAAAGTGGGAAGGATAAAATAATAATATAGAGATAAAATTACAAATAATGAGTAAGAAAGAAAAGACCGGAAAGAATATATTGTTCACTTCCTCTGCTTTGTCCTTTGGGATTTAAATACAAAGGGTTACTGACAGTCCTGGGGGCGACCTATCTGTGGCCGGAGCATGAAGATGAAGTGGAAGCCGGGCCTGGGTAAAGACAATCTGGCTTGGCGAGGTTAAATTTAGGAGCCCCGGTGGCACTGTGGATTAAGTATTGCATAGCTGCTAGTTGGGAGAAAGATGAAGGGCTCTGCGCCTTAAAGATTTATAGTCTTAGAAACCCTACATAGGGCTGCAACGAGTCGAAATTAACTGGATGGGAGTGCAGTAGCCCAGCTTAGCTTGAAGAACTCCATTTTGTTAATGCTGCTGTCTTGTAGGACCTCAGCTTGCTAGCGCTAGTCCCACCTGAGAGCCTGCCAAGAGTCTGACATCCACAAATTCTCTTGCCAGATGAGCCCCTCCCAGCCTTCTGACAGATCTGGACCCACTATGCCGCGGCCCCCCTAACCCTTACAGATAGCCTGTCTGCCAAACAAGCAAGGAATGTAGTAAATATTGACAGTCCCTGACTCATCTGAAGGTGTCCCCTCCCAATATCCTGGCTGCCCAACAAGCAGAGACTGTAACTGCCGATGTTCCGTCCCAATTAGCCTCCTGGTGTAATTATTGTATAAAGTCTGTCTCCTGCCCTTGATCAGCATCAGCATGGAGTGTTTTTCCAGGTGCTAGCCTCCTCCCTTGGCCCAGCTCACTGTAATAAATGGCTTATTCTTTAAATATCCAGTATTACAGTAGTGGTTGGGTTTGATTTTTGAGTGTGGTTAACATGAGATTTTGTGCGCTTTTTAAAACAAAATCAATAATTTTATTGGGAGCTCTTATAGATTATAGCAATCCATAATTGAATTAGATCAAGCATAATTGTACAATTCCATAAGTTTCAAAACATTTCTTTCTTCTTGAACTCTGTGATATCAGCTTCCCTTGATCCCCCTCCCCCCATGAACTCTTATTATATTATTATTGCTATATCTTACACCATCTAATGCATCCGTTCTCTTACAATTGTTATTCGTTCCCCTTGTGTGGGGTTATACAGTCATCATTGATATGTTTCTTCTCCCCCCACCCTCTCTTTCCACACCCTCAGGGAATCATTACTCCTGTTACTGTTTCTGAGGGGTTATCTATCTTAGCTTTCATGCAATGAAAAATCTTAATTGTACAAATGAACACAGGCAGATCTAACAAGATTAATGAGGTAAAACAATGAACATAATGGTAAGGGGAGGAAATATTAAAGAACTAGAGGGCAGTTAGGTATTTTATCAGTGCTATACCGCACCCTGGATATCATTCCTTCTATGTGGCCCTTCTGTGGGGGACTGTCCAATTATCTAACAGATGGGTTTTGGGTCTCCACTCTGTCCATTTCCTTCACATCCATTTTATTGCTTAGTTTTGAACTTCTGATACCTAGTCCCATCCACACTTCATGATCACACAGGCTGATGTGCTTCTTCCATGTGGCCTTTGTTGCTTCCCTGTTTTGTAAGGATAAATTGAGCTTGTTTAAAATACTGATGACAAAGAGTTAATATGGAGGGAGACTGAAGAGAGGAGAAAGGGAGGTCTCTGAATATAAGCGATGAGATCTTGCACAACGACGAGCCGTGGGGCCGTTGAAAGGGCTTCTTTTCCACTCTAACTGAAAAGAAAGGAAATGGGGCCCCTGGCAGATCTTGCGGATTTGTTGAAGGGAAGCTGAATTTCGGACCATTGGTTTTCATGATCTTGGTAAAGCAGTCAGGCCTGAAGTAAGGCGAACACAGGCTCGAAAAGCTGCTTCCGTGGAGGATTACCCAGGCTACCTGGCCATCGCTGGTTCACAGGGAGTCCAGTCTGGGAGATGCCAAATCCTTTTCAGAGGATGACAAGGTGCGCTGTCATGGCAACCGAACCTCGTGGAGCGCCTCACCCGACCCGTCACTGAACGAGGTGTGGCGTCTAAACTGAATCCGGGAGATCAACTGACCTGAGACCAACAGGTACCGACACGAGACCAAAATACGACCGCCGAACAGCGACAGCTGGGCCTCACTCGCCGCGAAAACCACCTCGGGCGTGACGTCACGAAACGCGACGGAGGGCGACACACGCCACTGTTCCCCGACGGCGGCGCGGCAATATGACGCAGCCCCGGAAGTAGTCGCAGTATTTTTCGGTCGAAGCAGCAGCCGGCGGCCTTCGAGCTCAGATTGCGGGGGTCGCGCCTGCACTGTTCGCTGCGCTTCCGCTCGCGGGTCCCCGATCTCGGTTCTGCGGGCGAGGAGGCGTCTCCACCGTCATGGGGGGCGGAGACTTGGTGAGTCTTCTAGGAAGGCCTGGGCGGGGCGGGGGACTGAGGCCCGAGACCCACTGGGGCTGGGTCCAAATTGCCGGGGAGGGGGTACCTGGCTGTCGAAGGGAGGGAGGGCACCGGAGCTTTGGAGACAGGGGCCGAGAGCGAGGGCCTTGAAGGGACCGGCTCTGCGGTTCGGGACACACATGACAAAGGTGTTTGAGGTGTGTCACAAACCGTGGCAGGTGGTGGCTTGTATGTTTGTTAGCCGTGGCGGTGAGGAAGAAGGTGGGACTTTCAGCTGGACAATCGGGGAACGCCGGGAAGGGGCTTGGTTGGAACCATTGCTTGGAAAGAGACAGCTATGGAGAGACCTTATCAAGTGTCCCTTTTTTATATCTCTTGCCTTGGGGACACGGCTGCCTTCCTCAGCTAGGAGTTCGGAGTGACGTTCTGGCCAGTAGCAAGGGTGGTTTGTGCTTCACTCTCCCAAGCCCCTGAGTTGTGCCCAGAAGTCCACTTTAAGCCTGAGGGATCTTTTTCTTGTTTTGACGGTTAATTGTGAATTAGGTGAGGTTTACATATCAGGTCATTGCTTTTGTTTTCAACCATTTAAACAACTGATCAAACCTCCCAATGGCTTGACCTGTTCCCGTGTCCCACCCCCAATTTTTTTACCCTACACCTATCTCCTCCTTGTAAGCGTTTATCTTCCCTTTCACCAGAGTGAACACCTGTCTAGTTTCTAGCGTATTCCTTTCCCTCCCAACCCCGGTAGCCATTACAATCTGTTTCTCTTGATTGGAAAACCTGTTCTTGATTTTTTTTTTTTCTTAACAGCGGTCTCATACAATAGTTGTCCTTTTATGAACGACTAACTTCATCCAGCATCATGTCCTTTAAGCCTATCCGTGAAGTGTTTCACCGTTGCATCATTATTATTTCATGATGTGTAGCATTCCACAGCATGTATGTACCAAAGTGTGCTTATCCATTCTGCCACGGATGGGCATTTCGGTTGTTTCCATCTCCTTGCTGTTGTCAGTAGTGCTTCCGTGCACGTGGGTGTGCATGTCTCTCCATACCGTGTTATTTCTGTGGGGTCTCCACCAAGTATCGTGATGGCTGCTTCATAGGGGGTGTGTTTCTTCACCCGGGGCTGGGCTCTACTTTGGTCATTCTTTTTCAATTGTGAATTGAGTAGGGGGTTACATTTCAGACCATCAACAGTTGAAACCACTCACCAACTCTCCTCTGCTCCCTGCCATAGTCTACCCCACACCACCTCTCCTCTAATCTCTCTTCTCCCTCATTTGGTCCTCCATTCTCCCTTTCAAGTTAATACCTGTAGACTCTCTAGTCCAGTGGTTCTCAATCTGTGGGTCTCGACCCCTTTGGGAGTCAAACGACCCTTTCACAGGGCTCGCCTGATTCATAACAGTAGCAAAATGACAGTGATGAAGTGGCAATGAAAATAATGTCCAGGTTGGTGGTCACCACCACATGAGGAACTGTATGAAAGGGTTGCCGCCCCGTGAGGAAGGTTGAGAACCACTGCTCTCGTCTGTTGCTTCATCTTTCCTCCCATGTCCTCAACCCCTTGCTTTTGGTAACCTCAAACTCTGTACCCTTTGGTATGCAAATCTTTGTCTTGGTTTTTACCTTTATAGTACTTGTCTCATATAGTGTATGTCTCTTTATAATTTATCAACTTCCATCAGATCGTTATGATCTCCAGGTCCATTCATATCATGAGGTGCTTCATGGTTTCATCATTGCTTTTTAGTGATGCATAGTATTCCCTTGTGTATGTGCACCAGAATTTCTTTATCCGTTTCTCTACTGATGGGCATTTGGGCTGGTTCCAGCTTCTCATTGTAAGCAGGGCTGTGGTGAATGTGGGATTGCAACATCTATAAGGAACCTCTGATAGTGCAGTGGTGACAAGCGTCAGCAGTTTGAAACCGCCTTCCACTCTGAGGGAGAAAGATGGGGATTTCTACTCCCATAAACAGTTACGGTCTTGGAAACTTGCAGGGACGATTCCACCGAGTCCTATACTATCGGGCCACGATGAGTAGTCAGCGTTGACTCCCTGGTAGTGAGTTTGGTTTGATTTTTACGGCTGCTATGTTTCTTACTTCTTTAGGGCATACACTCAGTAGAAATATTGCCGGATCTCATGAAATTTCTATTCCCAGTTATTTGAGGTAGCGGCGATCTCGCTTTCACATTGGCTGTCCCTGTTTGCGTTCCCACAGCAATGTATGAGGGCTCCAATCTCTCCACACCTCCTCCAGCATTTGTTGGATATGGTACATCTATTCCCAATTGTTTGGGGACTCACCATACCGCTCTCCACCGTGGTCGTACTGTTGTACAGCCTCCGCAGCAGCGCGTGAATGTCCCAGTGTCTGCGCACGCCCTCCAGCACTGCTGTCATCTGTAGTTTAAAATGCTGCTATCGATGCTGCCATTGGCTGCCAGTTCTCAGCATTGCTTTGAATTTGAACCTCTGGATGACTACTGACGATGAGCATTTCTTCCTGTGTTTGGTTGGCTCCTGAATGTTTGCTTGGGTAAACTGTTCCTGCCCTCTGCCCACTTTTTAATTGGGTTATTCACCTTTTTCTTGTTGAGGTATCGAATATTTTCAGATATCCGTTCCTTTTCAGATGTATCCTTGCCAAAGTTGTCCGCACCCCCCTCCCCAGTTGGTGGGGTTTTCTTTTTTGCTGTTTGGCGAAGTCTTTTGATGCACCTAAGTGTCTTGTTTTCAGAGGGTCCCAGTTAGCTGTTTTGTCTTCTGCTCTGTGTGTTTTTCATTATGTTTGAGAGTGGGTTTATGCCATGCATTAGGGCTTTCTAAGTTTGTCTCTATTTTTTTCACTGGGGTTTGTAAGTCTAGGGTTTACATTTAGGTCCCAAATCTATCTTGGGTTCATGTTTGTATTTGCAATGAGATATGGGTCCTGTTTCCTGCTGCTGGCCACGCGGATCTGATTCTGTGCACGTCATTTGTTGGAGAGACTCTCTCTTCCCCTTCTCTTGTGTTGCAGTGGAGGGGTCTTTTCACGGCGCCTCTCGGACTCTTGTCTGTCCTTCAGTACTGTATCTTGATTTGTGGTGACAGAGCTTTCTGGTTTCAGAGCATGCAAAGGGGGTTCAATTGTGTTGTTTAATAAGATGTGGGAGAAAGATGTGATTATTTGATCCAGTAGAGATTACAGTCTTGGACACCCTGTGAGGCAGTGCTCCGCCTCTGAGTTTAAGTTAGAATTGACAGTAACAAGTACTAACAAGTCAGGCTCCTGATAAGAGTACATGTATTCAGAAGAATATGATGTAAGGTCAGGAAATGCTAGCCTTCTGAAGGTGCATCCGATTGAATTAGCTATATAAATCCCTGCCACCTGTCTGCTGAGCTCCTGTACTCAAAAGTAACGTTGTACTTAAATATGATATCAAATATGAAGAAAAAAGTTGTGAAAATTCATTAATAGTAGAGCGAATGTTTTGAGAATGGTGAGGGCAATGAATGTACAAATGTGCTTTACACAATTGATGTATGTATGGATTGTGATAAGAGTTGTATCAGCCCCTAATAAAAAATTAAAATAAAAGAAAGAAAATTCATTAATAATTAGAATGTGGAATGCACAATGTAAGAAAAAATGGAATTGAATGCATACAGATCAATGTCAGGCATTCGTGAGCTGGATTGGGATTGGCCATTTTGAATTGGACAAACTTCTGGCTTACTCTGCTGGGAACAAGAGATTGAAGAGGAATAGCATTAACTTCATTGTCCAAAAAAAAAAAAAATTCTTTTTAAGATCCATCCTGAATTATAATGCTGTTAGTGATAAGGTAATATAGCCACACACCTGTGAGAGACACCAGTTAATATTAGGACTATTATTTACATTTAAATGCCAACTACTGTTGCCAACGATGAGGAAATTGAAGCTTTTACCAACTTCTTCAGTCTTAAATTGAGGCATTGATAATTCCTGGTGAGTAGAATTCAAAAGTTGGAAACAGTGGAAGGCCCTATAGCTGGAAAATAGGGCCTTTGTGATAGAAATGATGCCAGCGATCTCAGGATAGAATTTTGCAAGACCCATGACTTATTTGTTGCAAATCCCTTACTTGAGCAACATAAATGGTGACTATCCATGTGGCCCACACCAGACAAAATACGCAGGGATCATATTGACCCCATCTGTGGAAGGAGACGATGGAGAAGCTGATAGCAGCCTGAAACAGGGCCAGGGCCACATGTGACACAAGCCATCCATTGCTCATGTGCACGTTCAAGCTGGAGCTGAAGAAAGTGAAATCAAGTCGACAGAAGCCAAAGTGCAAGCCGGAGTATATCTTATCTGAACTTAGGGACCATCTCAAGGATAGATTTGGCATATGACATCATGTTTTTGGCATAAAACATCATTCATGCTCTCTTTAGAGATTATCCCAAGTCAAGGACATCGTACCTTAAAAAACAAAAACAAAGAAGAAAAGACCAAGAGGATGTCAAAAGTGATTGAAACCTGCTCTTGAATGTAGTTCAAATAAATGGAAGAAATGATGAAGGAAAAGGCTGAAGAGAAGCTTTCCAAGGGTCACCGAGAAGACAGCCCACTGCCATTGGTTCTGTCCCGACCGTAACACCCTGCAGGACAGGGTAGAGCTGTCCGCTAGGGTTTCTGAGGCGCAGACAGCTCGCCTTTCTCCCATGGAGCTGGAGGGTGTGAACTGCCCGGCCTTGTGGTGAGCGGCCTTTGCTTCCCTCACCAGCTACATAACCAGCACTCCTTTGGTGAAGGCAGAGTAAAAGCTTTAGAGAAAGAACCAAAAGAGAAAACACAGAATGTGGAAACCATTGAACAATAGGATTCATGTCACTTGTAAGTGCAACAATTCGAACATTTAATGATAATGTAAAAATAGTTGCAGTAGTACATTGATAGGTAGTTATCAGAAATTCAAGCCAGGTGGAATGAGGAGTGTTGTTGCTGATA